TTACTGCGAAGTGGGGAGGTCAGCTCTCGGCTGGAACAGCGTGGTGGCTGGAGGGGGGAACAGCAGTGAGGCCGGCCTGCATGCACGTCCTCCCTCAGAGCCGGATGGAACACACGCTGGAACATAGCAGCAGCGTGGCCGTGATGACGTCAGATCCCAGGGTGCACTGCGACGCGTTTCGGAGCATGCACTGGCTGTGGAAGGAGGAAGTGCACTAATTTTTCAAGCAGGGGTAGGTGGATGAACAGGGGTGAATATATAGGGAACGTGAGTCTAATTGATCAATTAACCAATTAACCAGTGATTGACCATTGCTGTCAGGTGAATAGTGTAAAGTCATGGATGTTAAATGGGGGGGTAAAGGAAGCCAAATGGAAAAAAGAGAGGATGTATATAATAAGAAAATGGAAGATGAAAGAAAAATGATAAAATGAAAAAAATGATGAATAAAAGAAAGAAAAATGAAAAAAAAATAAAAAAAAATTAATGAAATGAAAAATGACATCAATAAACGATTTTTGAACAGCTGAAAATCGAAGAAGCTATGTGAAAAAAGTTGATGGGGGTAATAAGAATACAAAAGGAAAAACAAAGAAAAAAAAAATTATATTCTGGGAGATTAGTGGGGTAAAATCTGTGCCAATCTGTGCACAGTCAGTGCCACCAGTCAGTGCCACCTACCAGTGCTGCCAGTCAGTACCGCCTATAAGCGCCCTTCAGTGCTGCCTATTAGTGCCCATCGGTGCCGCCTCTCAGTGCCCAAAATTGCCACCTACCAGCACAGCCTCATCAGTGCCTCCTCAGCAATGCCCACCAGTGCTGCCTTATCAGTTCAACCTATCTGAGCTGCCTATGAGTGCTGCCTCATCAGTGCCCATCAGTGCTGTATATCAGTGCAACACAAAGTGAATGAGAAAAATTACCTGTGTACAAAATTTTTATAATAGAAACAAAGAAAAACTTTTTTTCAAAATTTTTGGGTTTTTTTGTTTAACAAAAAATAAAACACCCAGTGTTGATTAAATACCACCACACGAAAGCTCTAATTGTGTGAAAAAAATTATCAAAATTTCATATGGATACAGTGTTGCATGACCACACAATTGTCATTCTGAATATTGGCCCAGGTAGGAAGAAGGTGAAAGTACCCGGTAGGCAAGTGGTTAATAAAGATAAAGATAAAAAAATGTTTTTTTCAGGGCTAGGACAGGAATAAGAAACAAAAATAACTAAATAGGATTAGGACCTATACGAGAAGGAGAGCCAGGTAAACAAGTGGTTAAAAGGGTTAGTAAGGAGGTTAAATAGATGTCACATACTTGATTTGGTGGTTGTAGGGCTAGCTGGGAGGAGCTGCAGGTGTGGTATTTAGGGTGGAGAAAGGCTGGTTCAATTGAAGATCAGCAAACACCAAAAGAGCTTGCCATCCACCCAACCTGTGCTACTGAAATTTGACATATCAGACTGGATGTCACACCACTTCCTCAAACTTAACCTATCCAAAACTGAGCTCATAATATTATCCTCCCCTACATGCCCCTTCCCATCACTTCTCTGTAAAGATCAATAGCTCAACTATCAATCTGTCCCTAGATACCAAGGTGCTAGGTGTAATCCTGGACTCTGAACTATCACTTCAGTCCCGCATCCAGTCAATGTCCAAAGCCTGCTGTCTCAACCTCTGCAACATCTCCAAAATATGCACCTTCCTAACCAATAACACTACAAAGCTCTTAGTTTCACTCCCTGGTCTTCTCTTGCCTCAACTACTGCAACTCCCTCCTCGTGGTTTACCTTTCCATAGGCTATCCCGTCTTCATCCATCATGAATGCTGCTGCCAGACTCATTCACCTTACTACTAAGTGTCTGCTACCCCTTTCTGCCAATCCCTCACCAAACAAAAGAAACTCAAAATACTAACAACAACGTACAAAGTCATCTGTAACTCGTCCCTCAGCTACATCATGAACCTAGTCTCTAACCAGTTGCCATCCACCCTAAAGCAGTTTTACTGCTACAGGGTAGACTCCCTGTGCAAAATCATGTGTATATATAAGTGATCCGCGCTCCCGCTGTGATCGCGGGTAGGGAGCACACACGCCTGCCGACTCAGCGGTGCTGTGATTCGGGTGCAGCATCGATAAGTCAGCAGATTCAGGACAGTGATATTAATATTTTGGCCTGGATCTTCTGAGTGATCACTGCCCTGTCACAGATCTTCCTGTGCCTGTGTTTCCATTACACAGACACAGAAAATGATGCAGTCGTCTCTCCCTGGAGCACATTCCATTCCAGAGAGAGAAGAAAGCAGATCCACGTGAGTCAAAAGCACTACACCTTACAGTAAAAGCACAGATAGGTCACATTTAACCCCCTGATCACCCCCCAGTTAACCCCTTTACTGCCCTGTCACCAGTGTCATTAGTACAGTGTACAGATTTTTTTTACTGATCACTGTATTAGTGTCACAGGCAACTTCAGCTAGCATTAGCATCAATTAGCGTCAGTTAGCGTCCATCCCAGATAGCATCAGATTGCCTGCCAGTACATCAGTCATCACATTTAACCCTCTGATTGCCAGGAACATTCTCACATACACAATTCTATTGTGCTCTAGTGAAGAGGCCTACAGGATTATGAGCATGTCCGATGAGAGCGAAGGGAAAGCCTCCCTGACAGAATATGCTTCAGAATACGAAACTGTAGACAGCAGCAGCACTCTGGCAGATAGCTCAGACAATGGAGAAGAGGTCCCTGCTAAGGTCAGGCATACCCGACCCCATTCCCAGGTTGCTGAGGTGTTACAATTGCATGATGACTCTCATATGTAGCAAAGCGCCAGTACTAGTGCCGCTCTACCTTTCGGGTGAACTGGTGAGCACCATTGGCCTTGTACATCCTGGTCTTTTACATACCAGCACTGCAGTATCACTTGGTGACGTGGCGAGTCCCATAAGTGCAGTACAAGCTGATGCTGTGGCGAGCACAAGTATTGTCCCGCAGCCACTAAGAATTTGCACACAGGCCCATAGAGCTCATAGTGTCCTTCCAGATGTGCTTACAAATCCTGATTGGCAGCCCACAAATTCTGCAACACCCGTACTTCCCCCCTTCACTGCCCAACTCAGGATTGAAGTGGAAACACCAAATTTAGCTAATCCCCTTGATTTATTGGAGCTGTTTTTCACGGAAGATCTGTATGAATTGATTATGGATTAAAGCAATTTATATGCACACAATTTATCGCCGCCAACCCAAATTCAATCCTTTCCAGACCATTACATGAAAACCTATTACGGTTTCCAAGTTTGAAATTTTTTTGGGCCTAACCCTCAACATGGGCGTTACTAAAAAAAAAAGTGAATTGCGGTTGTATTGGTCCACAGACCCGATTCATCATATGCCGTGTTCTCTGCTGCCATAGCCAAGCATAGATATAAGAATATAATGCGATTTATGCATTTCAGTGGCAATAAACTCTGTAGTCCTTTGGGTGACCCTGAATATGATAGGCTCTACAATGTCCAGCCCCTCATAAATCATCTTAATCAAAAATTTACATTTGTATATACTCCCCAGCAAAACATCTGTGTTGATGGGTCCCTCATTAGTTTTTGTGGCTGCCTTCCTTCAAACAATTTATTCCCAGCAAGCATGCAAGATATGGGATCAAAACATATAAGGCCTGTGGGAGGGCAACATGCTATAAATGTAATTTTGGGATTTACGAAGGAAAAGATATTCATGTGGAGGCCTCCATATGCCCAGACTACATGGGGAGCAATGGCAAGATAGTTTGGGACTTGGTGTCACCCTTTTTCTATATGGGGTAGCACTTATACCTGAACAATTTTTATACAAGCGTGCCACTATTTAGACATTTATACAATCTTGGAATTGGTGGATGTGGCACCGGGGTTAATTACTGGGGCTTCCCTCAACAACTTGTAAATACCCATCTTAGAAAGGGGGAAAAAGCCTGCTTGAAAAATTATGAATTGCTTGCAGCGAAGTGAAAGGACAAATGGGATGTTTGTTTTCCATTCACAAAGACACAACTATTCACATTTCCACGGCAGCTGGTGTTGTTGAGCCTCTCTGTGTCTACGACTATAACCTTAACATGGGAGGGGTGGACTTCAACAACCAGATGATGAAGCCGTACTTAGTTTCCCGAAAAATCAGACGCTGGTACAAAGAAGTGTCTGTATATTTATTTCAATTGGCTCTGTACAACACTTTTGTGCTTTACAAAGCAACTGGAAGAAGTGGATCCTTCCTAAAATTCCAGAAAGAGATCATCACGGCCCTTTTGTATCCAGGAAGTGCTGTGGCCCAAACCCCCAACCCAGATAAAGTGACCTGGCTGCATGAGAGGCATTTTCCTGATGACATTTCTGGTACCCCAACCCAAAAGACACCCCAAAAAAAGATGTGTCTGTAGCTGACACAGAATTAGGCGTTGCACCCACTTTTTTAGTCCCTCCTATCCTGCCCAACCTGGTCTCTGCCTCGAGGACTGGGTCCGCCGTTACCATACACTAGTGGACTTTTTAGTATAGGGTACAGCACGGCACAGTCTAGAGCACATATATACACAGGGTCTCAAAAGATGTAAAGATGTTAGGTAGTCAGGAAATTGCCTATCGCATTTTGAGAGACCTACCACCTGGATGTTAGTTTAAAAAAAAAAGTTAAAAAAAAACCCATTAACCACTAGCCTACAGGACACTTATACCCCCTTTCTGCCCAGGCCAATTTCCAGCTTTCAGCGCTGTCACACTTTGAATCACAATTGCGTGGTCATGCAACACTGTACCCATATGAAATTTTTATCATTTTTTTGTGACAGATAGAGCTTATTTTGGTGGTATTTAATCACCTCTGGGTTTTTTATTTTTTCTTAAACAAACAAAAAACCACAGAAAATTTTGAAAAAAAAAAAATTTTTACTCTTAGTTTTTGTTATAAAATTCTGTAAATAAGTGATTTTTCTCCTTCACTGATGTGCGCTAATGAGGCTGCAGTGATGGGCACTGATAGGCTACATTGTATTTAATTATGGACACTGATAGGTGGACACTGATGGGCACTGATGATAGGGAGGCACTGGTAGGTGGCACTGATGGGCATTGACATGCATCACTGATGGGCACTGAAAGGCAGCACTGAATATGGCACTGATAGGCGGCACTGATAGGCGGCACTGACTGGCACTGATAGGCAGCACTGACTGGCACTGTTAAGTGGCACTGATTGGCACTGTTAGGTGGCACTGATAGGCAGCACTGAGGGGCACTGATAGGCGGCACTGATGCACACTGATAGGTGGCACTGACTGGCACTGATAGGCAGCACTGACTGGCATTGATAGGCGGCACTGACTGGCAGCACTGATAGGTGGCACTGCTGGGGCTACACAGATCATCAGGGCACACTAATCATCAGTGCGATCTACATGCGATTTACATGCGATCAGCTGTGATTGGACACAGCTGATCACATAACCGAGCCGACATCTTCGGCTTTTTTCCGTTGATTGGTGATTTGCTGTGTCCGAGGGACACAAGCGCACCACCGATCGCTCCCCGAGCTGTGCATGCGCGGTTAGAATGGGACGACGTCATATGACATCCTCCCAGAATGAGAGAACCGCCTTGTGCCCGTTATTTCACTATATGGCGGGCTAAAGGCAGTTAAATATAAATAAATAAAAAACAAAAATAGTTGTCATTTTATTCAGTTACTTTTTTATTTTTAATGTTTTTTTGAGTTACTGTTTTATTTTTACTGATTTATTGTTAACCATTGCTGTTTTCTGTGCAGCTGAAGCACAGATCTGTTTATTCTGACAGCAACAGGGTCTTGATCTCAGAATATACGTGTGCAGTGCTGTTGGATGAGAATTTTCATCCACAGTTAACCACTTGCCCTCCAGAGGATTTATCCCCCTTCCTAACCAGGCCATTTTTTGTTGTTCGGCACTGCTCTATTTCAACTGGTAATTATGAGGTCATGCAATACTGTACCCAAATGAAATTTATGTCCTTTAGAGCTTTCTTTTGGTGGTATTTGATCACTTCTGTAGTTTTCATTTTTTTGCACTATAAACAAAAAAAGACCAACAATTCTGAAAAAAATTTAATTTTTCACTTTGGTTATAAAAAATATCCAATAAACTCAAAGTTAGTAATAAATGTAGGCTAAAATGTATTCTGCTATATGTCTTTGGTAAAAAAAAATCTCAATACGTGTATATTAATTGGTTTGTGTGAATGTTATAGTGTTTACAAACTATGGTATATATAGTGGAATTTACGTAGCTTTTACTTTCTGACTGCCTATCACATTTCTTGAGGTGCTGAAATGCCAGGGCAGTACACCCCCCCCCCCCCAATTGACCCCTTTTTGGAAAGTAGACACCCCAAGGATTTTGAGAATCTTTTTTTCAATTTTTTTTTTAAACAAAGCTGTCACTTTAATGATATTTTGCTCATGCATGCCATGGGTATATGTGGAATAACATCCCAAAACACATCTCTCTTGCTTCTTCCGAGAATGGGGATACCACACGTGAGAGACTTTTTGGCAGCCTAGCTACATACAAGCCCCAAAAATCCAATGACCACCTCCAGGCTTTTAGAGGCATGTTTCATCATATCACTTCCCCAATACCTATCACAGTTTCGGAGGCCCTAAAATGCGAGGATAGTACACACACACCCCTCCCCCAAATTACCCCTTTTTGGAAAGTTTTGATTTTGATTTTTTTAATTATTTTTACACTGTCCCTTTCATTTTTTTAAAATCACTTTTAATGCTATCACAGGGAATGCAAATATCAACTATAACTTCAATTGGCATTGTCATAAATTATTTTTTGAGAAATCTGGGGTCTACTAGACTCTAGATATCTCCTTTGCCCTCACATTATCTAATCTCACCAAGATCGGTGTGATCAGATGCTTTCCTAATTTACAAATGGCACTGTTTATATCCTGCAAAACTGAAGTGATGAAATGCTCGTAGCTTCAGATTTCTTAGACTATAGAGATGATTGGAGTCATTCTGTAATACAGTGATCAGCAAAAAATTCTACTGTATATACTGACACTGTACTAATGGCCACTGGCTGGGTGATGGGGCGATCAAAGGGTTAATAGGGATGATCAAAGGGTTAAACGTGCTAATCTAATGTGTGTGTGTAAAATGTAGTGCTTTTATTGATGCCGTGTTCTCTCTTCTTTCCCTGGACTGACGGGTGGGGGGGGGGGGGCAGCGGGGGGGCACAGGTGCATTCACACCCCAAAATAGGAAGTGACGCAAGATTATGTCGCTTTGCCAAGAGCTGCTGCTCACCCGCGAAATGCGGGTAAACGGTTGGCAAGTAGTTAGAAAACAAATTCTCAATAGGTTTTTTTTTTTTTTTTACTTATTTTAAATTTTAAATTATTTTTTAAATACTTTTATAAGAATAGTACAATGTTAGGTCTTGGACTCCCTGGTTGATCCAACTGGTCACTACCTCTTCCTTAAATTGAAATACCAAGATTTTGTTTTTTACAGTGGCGAACATTTACACTCCCAATCAGGATCAGGCTCCATTTATTGCGGTGGTCCTCTCTAGGCTGTCCTCATTTGGGGGTCCCTGTTTCATTGTCGGAGGGGACTTCAACATAGCTCTCTCACCAGACTTGTACACTTCCGCGGGTAAATTTTCTCTCTCCTTATCGTTCTTATCTCAAATTAAGTTGTGTTTGCATGACTTAAATTTAGTGGACGTTTGGTGCATCCAACATCCTTAAGAGCAAGACTATAGTTATTATTCTACAGCTCATGCATCATACAGTTGTATAGACCGCCGCTCAACTGGCCCCGCTTCTGGCCCAAACTTTTAATGTTATCGATGATCTAAACGTACCTTCATCAGCTTTTTTGTCTGCCACTAATACGGTTATCCCTAAACCGGGTAAGTTATAGTTATAGTTATATATGCGGTAGTTATCAGCCAATTTCTCTACTTAATCTGGACGTTATGCTTTTTGCTAAACTTCTAGCGAACCACCTTTCCCCTTTTCTACCAACCTTGATCCACCACGATCAGGTTGGCTTTGTCCCGGGTCGCGAAGCTAGGGATAATACTTCTAAAACGATCCATCTTATCTCTTATATCAAGCAACACGGCTTAAAGGCTTGCCTGCTCTTATTTGACTCCGAGAAGGCATTTGATCTTGTTGACTGGCGTTTTCCTCGTCTTACCTTGGAACAGACTGGTTTTGGTTCATGGTTCCTTTGTCAGATTATGTCCCTCTACTCTCATCCTTCGGCGTCTGTCCTGGTCAATGGTATGGTTTCTTCGCCCTTCCCCATATCGAATGGTACCAGACAAGGATGTCCCCTCTCGCCTCTTTTCTCTGTTTTAGTAATGGAACATCTTGCGCGAGCCATACGAGTTAACGACTCAATCTTGGGCATCCACACTCCCTCCGCACACCACAAATTATCCTTATATGCCAATGACCTTCTAGTTTACGTTGAACGGCCACTTATTTCCCTTCCCAGTCTCTTCCACAAATTTCATAGATTTGGTTCCTTTAGTAACTTTAAACTTAATATTTCTAAAACGGAGGCCCTAAATATTTCTTTACCTGCCCATGTGCTGGTGAACCTACGCTCTAATTTTTCCTTTCAATGGCGACCAAAGGCTATCACGTACCTGGGGGTCATGATTTCGGCCAATCTTATATTCCCTTAATTATTTACCCTTGCTTTCATGTATCCGAAAAGATCTGGTTTCATGGGGCGCTTCAGCCTTGCCCTGGTTCGGCCGCATCAACACCCTCAAGATGGATACCTTACCTAAGTTGCTATACATTTTTCAGACTGTACCGATCACTGTCCCTAGGAGTTTCTTCCTCTCTCTATGCTCCCTTTCGATTAGATTTATTTGGCACTGTGGGTTTTCAAGGTTAAAACACAGGTTACTTACTTACCCAAAACTCGGTGGTGGACTGGTTTTACCGGACTTTGAGCTTTATTACAGAGCCACGTTACTAGCCCGGATGCTTGATTGGTTTCCCAGACCCTTCCGTAAAGCCTCTTGTATGATTGAACAAGATCTTTCTCAGGTTGATCTTCTGGCATTGCCATGGGGGTATGACTGGAACTATCGGGTCCCCTTTTACTTTTTTCCCTATTTGATAACCCTGCTCTTCCTCAGGGGTTGGGCTCTTCTACTATTGGACCTTTTACACGAGCCTCCTGGCCTGTAGCTCAAGACTTTATCTGCCCCCACTTGGGTCTTCCACTCCTTCAAGGTGGGCCTAGGGATTGGTTGACCACTTTACACCTATCCTCATTTTGCAAGCACTTACACTCTTGCTCCAACACTCATCGTCCACTTTTTGAGATTGAACGGTTGTGCTTCCTCTCTGAACCACCGAGACACATCCTAGCTTCCCTCTATAAAGTGCTCCACAATGCTCTTCATTCTGAACTCCCTCCCTACACTGAGGCATGGGCTCAAGACCTAGGTAAAGACATATCGGCTGAGGATTGGTCCACATCATTCCACTTCACTCATAAATCATCTATTTCTTGCTATTCACAAGAAAATAACTTTACGCTTCTTTCTCGATGGTATAGGGACCCCCTCTCTCTACACAAAATTTTTCCTTCTACACCTAATCTTTGTTGGCGCTGTAATAGAGCTGTTGGTACACAGCTCCACATTTGGTGGGATTGTGATCAAATACAACCCTTCTGGCGACAAGTCTTTGCTGTATATAACTGGATCTATGGTGAGGCCTTGGCCCCTTTGCCGCAAATTGGTCTTCTCTCTATATTACTGGGCTCACTGGCAGTGCAGAAGAAAAGTCTGTTGCATTTCTTTCTGTCTGCAGCCAGCCAATTGATACCCCACTTTTGGAAAACAGCCACTCCCCCACCCTTTTCGATGTGGGTTTTTGTGCTTAATGATACCATGCATATGGAGTAAATGCTGGTGTTTGCCAGTGATACCTATGATAACTATAAGTTACTGTGGTCAGTCTGGGTCCATTTGTCAACAAAAGAGAACTGCAAAATACTCACCATGCTTCTTATCAAATTCTTTGGGGTGTCTACTTTCCAAAAATAGGTCATTTGGGGGGGGGGGGGGGGGGTTTGGTGCTATCCTGGCATTTCAGGGCCTCTGAAACTGTGATAGGTAGTGAGGAAGGAAAAAGAGGAAGTTACCAACCTTCAGGCTTTCAAAGTGGTCATTGGATTTCAGGCTCCTGTATGTGGCTAGGCTCCAAAAATGTCTCACAAGTGGTATCCCCATACCCAGATGAAGTTACAGAATATATTTTGTAGTGTAATTCCAAATATATCCATGGAATGTGTGAGCAATATACCATTTAAATGACAACTTTGTGTAAAAAAAACCCAAAAAACTTTTGTTTTGTCA